TCAATGTAATTCAACATAAAGTCAACAGGATTTCTGTTTTCCTTAAGCGCATGTGCCACTGTAAGAAGCCTAAGATTGCATTTTTTTTAAGAGCTGTCAGAACTGTGCAGCTGAATTTTCATGGTTGTGATACTTTTTTTCTTTCCATTTTGGTCTTCATTTAAGTGGGAAGAAATATGACAGACGGCACATCGAGGTTTTTACTGACCTTGGTAGTCCCTTCAGTGAGGATCAGCTCGATGTTATCATTGCTAATTTGAAGAAAACGGGGATCTCGCTGCAGTTTTTGTAAGTGAAGAGCAACATATGAAATATGTTAGGTGGTTCTCGGAAATATGTTAGGTGGTTCTCGGAAGATGGCAGGGGGTAGCATGGGAATGGAGAGTGGCTACTCCGAAATGTAGTAAATTACAGTGGTGCCTCGCAAGATGAGGGCCCCGTTTAACGACGAAATCGCATCACAACAAACTTTTTGTGATCGCAAAAACTATCGCTTTACGATGTTTTAAATGAGGTTTTCTCGCTTTGCGATGATCGGTTCCCTGCTTCGGGAGCCGATTCTCGCAAAACGACGATTTTCGGCCAGCTGATTGGCGGTTTCAAAATGGCCACTGGGTTAAAAAAATGGCTCTCCGCTCTTTTCTGGGACAGATTCCTCGCTGCACGGGCAGTGAAAATGGCCGCGCTATGGAGGATCTTCGCTGGACAGTGAGTTTCAAGCCCATAGGAATGCATTAATCAGGTTTTAATGCGTTTCTATGGGCCTTTTTATTTTGCATTACGACATTTTCATTCTACAGCCATTTCGCTGGAATGAATTAACGTCGTAATGTGAGGCACCACTGTATATTTCTCTGTGTTTTTGAATGGGCGGCACAATTTGCTGTAACTAGGTTACTTTAACTATTACGAGGACAGTTGCATAGCTGCTGGCTTCCATCATGAAATGAGTAGAATATGCTCCTTTAATGCATCTGCATTAGTTTATTTAAGTACTTGATCTACTTGAATGTTGTATTTTTTTTCCTTTCTGGGGAAAGCCTCGTTGCTTTCCAGAGTCCTCTTCCTTCATAAGGCAAGGAGTAGTGGCTGCCTCTCACAGGCTGTCATGTCATTGGCTTGGCTGCAGACTTCTCACTTCCATAGTGTAGCTGCTGTGAGACCTAAAGACAAGCCGATGTTCTGGAATTGATGGGTTGGTTTTGTGTGTGTGTGTTTTAATGGTGTGTGATGGGGATGGGTTCAACCTAGATTTATCCGTGGGTGTGCTCAGATTGATCAACAGATATGAATAAATTTTGTTACTCTGTCTGACATTGTCCATTGCAGCTTTCAGCACCCGTGGACTGCTTTAGCAGGATTGGGCTCCCCATTGCAGCAAGTGCTGTCAAATTGCGCATTATAAACCTTCACAAGGTTGTCCACTGCCAAGAGTTCTTCACCAATTCATCTTGTTGTTGTACAGAAACAGCTCCCCTGCCCTTCCTTCCCTCTCCCCAATGTCTGTCTCTCTCTGCACCTGACTTGATTTCTCTTATCTCTTCTTCTCTGCTGGCAATTTGGACTTTATGTAGTCCTGGCTCTTCCTCCCAGCTTGTATGGGCAGCTCATTGTGGACCTTTTTGCAGGAAATACACACTCTAAATAGGGAAAAACCTGATAAAATTTGCATCCAGAACAGCTGGAATCTGCAATCTGTATATATTATGCAACTAATTATGTGAGTCAGGTTGGGAGACCTGTGGTCCTTCAGATAGCAACGAATTATTGTTCCATTAATCCCCCACTGTTGGGCAAGGTGGCTGGGGCTGATGGGAATTTCAGCCCACCAAAACACATCTAGAAGTACTCAAGGATCCTTGGAGCTGTTCTCTGCCTTTTATACCTGATATTCCTGAGGTAAATAGCTGCTGGAGGGAGTGAATTTTCATTGGGATGCTGGTTATCACAGTTAAGAGTGGTGAGTCCAGTTTTGTGTGAGCTGCAGATCGACTTTGGGCTTTAATGAGATTCATACAATGGTGCCCCGCATAGCGATGTTAATCCGTTCCAGGATTAACGGCGCTATCCGGAAACATCGCTATGTGGGGAGGAAAACCCCATAGGAACGCATTAAACTACGTTTAATGTGTGCCTATTGGGGAAAAACTCACCGCTATGTGGGGAATTCTCCATCTGGCCGCCATTTTCGCTGCCCAGTAAGTGAGGAATCCAGGCCAAAACACAGCGGGCGGCCATTTTACCAGCTTCCCTACTCCAGCCCCTCCCCCTCCAGCTGATCCACGGTGCTCTTTGAAGCTTCCCCAGCAGCTAAATAGGCAGTGAAAATGCACTGGGGAAGCCTCTGAAAGCCACGCTTTACCAGGGTGGGTGGGTGGCAGGGGGAGGGGCTAGAGCAGGGAAGCTGGCAAAATGGCCCCCCACTGTGTTTTGGCCCAGATTCCTCGCTTACGGGGCAGCGAAAATGGTGGCCGGATGGAGGATTTCCCGCATAGCGTTGAGTTTTTCCCCAGTAGGAACGCATTAAATGGAGTTTAATGCATTCCTATGGGGTTTTCCTCCCCACATAGCGACGAATCTGGATAGCGACATTAATCCTGGAATGGATTAATGTCACTATGCGGGGCACCACTGTATGCTAAACCCAAGATTATGGTTGCGAGTATAAGGAGAATAAAGCACAAATGGTCTCTAAATGGATACCCTATAGAGCAAGTAGCATGCTATAAATACCTTAGCATAGTTTTTCATTCTTCAGGATCCTGGCTTACTCATGTAAACCACGCAGCAATGAGTGCCCAGAAAAATACTGGGGCAATAACAAGATTTTTTCATACTGTAGGGGGTAAACATGTACCATCGGTAATACAAGTTTTTGAGGCCAGGATTATATCACAAATGCTTTATGGTTCTCAACTATTTGCTTACACTAATCTATGACCTCTGGAGATTGTTCAGACCAAATTTGCGAGAGCCATTCTTGGAGTTCCACCTTGTACTTTCAATGTGGCTCTTCGTTTAGAGGTTGGGATAATATCCATTAAAGCACGGGCAAAAGTCCTTATGCTGAAATACTGGCTGTGATGTCCCTCTTTCACGTCACAGTGGTCAGGACACTCTCTCATTCACACTTTATTTACGCTGCCACCAACCA